CAACTTAGCAGCAGACCTAAAGGGTATGGCATTTCCTTTAATTGGGTTGCCCTAAGACAACAATAATGACGAGCTCACACTCAACCCTTAAACGCTATTTAACAAGCCAGACCAAATAAGTAATTCCGGTAGAGAAGACAAAGTATGGCTTTTGAATGGCAGCATCAGGCATAAGTTTGTGAATCACCGCCAACTTCTTCTGCAAAAATCGCCAATACACTGCTTCTAACCCAGCAATAATAACTGTAGGTAATCCGAAACGAAACTACTGTCTCTGGCCCTAAAGCGCTCTAACGAAATAAATATACCTGACCAAATGTATCAAAAAAAACTTCCAAAAATCTACCCGGCAGGATAGTTACTGGTGTAGATTTCGCAAAATGTAATCATTACATATCTGTGCAGTAGAAAAACAACACATTTGTATTCATACCTTCTTCTGAGCGTCGAAGAAATAGTCACATATTGATCGATGAATAACTGCTTTCCAATGCTTTTCGAGGATCACATCACTGAATTATGGCCATGAAAATCATTATTGAAATGGTAAGAATCAAAACAAAGCAAAAACTACTAATTTCAAACCTACCCGGATGTATTCACAATGAACAAGCTATTCAGCATATCATAGAAGCCTCGAAATCTCTCCCTGAATTATTATACGGTTGTATATCAAAAGTAAATAGATGTACAAAAAAGGGAGATTTTTAACAGGCGAAAAAATTCTTCGTGAAGTCAGTAAGATAATATGTGAAAAGGGTCGCATAAATTTCGTTCTCTATCGAAAAAAGATTATAGTTAACTTCCCTTCTTAATTAATAAACAGTGATTTATTACTTGGACATAAACAACTCAAATTCCTTAAATCAATACAGCGCACTTAGCGCGCTCTGGGGATACACACGCGCTCCGTAGCTGTGCGCCCTTTAACGATTGTTAATTCTTTTACATACTTTTCTTGACTTTGATTTGCTTATTTTAATGGGTAATGTGTTGTGGTATGCTGTGCGATTTCATCCTTCTAATCAGTCGAACAAACTGAAATTCTCTAGGATGGCCTCCGCAATACGCCTCGCGGGGTCCCATCTTCGGGAACTGCGCATTCACCTTTGTCAAAAAAGTCCTGCGTCGGGTAAGTCACCAATCATTTTGTTAGTAGTATCTTCGCACTATACAGAAACTCCTCGGCCCACTCCACGGGAACAGGAGAGAGCTTCTGAAAAATTATATGGAACTTCAGAGGGCGGATTCAATCCTCCCTCAAGGGGTTGGGGACAAAAATCCCTTGGGTTTTTAACGATATAGTTTCTTCATTTTCAGTGCATGTTCACTTTGACCTAAGTGCAATCCCAGTTGGGAAGACAGAAAATTTTGAGGATTTTCGTTCTCCAACCCCTTGAGGGAAGATTGAATCCCTCCCCAGCGTGTGGTTCACCAGGACGGAATGTGACTTTTTCGTTTTTCGCAACGCGAAACTTTTTTCTCTGCGGGAACCCCATGGTCCACGGCGATCATCGATGGACCTGAGGTCCCTGCAGCGAAAAATGCTTTGCCCTGCGAAAAGCGGAAAAGTCGCGTTCTGTCCTAGTAGGCGCATGCATAGTCGGTCGTCCGACAGCAACGATCGTAACTGTCGCACAGCATTCGATGCGTATCGATCGTCGGACTTGCCTGAGTATTCGACGTTACATCACGTATCGTTACGATCGGACGACCGACTAGATATGCGCCGGGGCCCGGTGAAGGTACCTGCCGCCTCCCTCGCGATATTGGGGCGCGGTTCGGCTAAGCACGGACGAGTTGCTAGAGCCCGCGAAGTGTGCGGGTAGGTTTGGAAACACTTCATCAGCGCAGTTCGCGCGCACTATCAACTTACCGAGCTCGCCGCGGCCGCGCCACCTCGTGAAGAAAGTGGGGGAGCTCCTAGTGACCAGTATGTAGCCGTGATTAGGGTCAATTAAACATGCACTGAAAATGAGGAAACTATATCGTTAAAAACAAATAAATTTAAAGTGGTTTTTGTTCCCCAATCCCTTGAGGGAGGATCGAGTCCGGCCCCCGGAACTTCGGCTGCAGGGATTTGTTCAGTGCATTAATCACGATCACGGCATCCGGTTTCAGTGATTTTTTTAGTTCGTGGTTTTTTTGGGTTGGTGCATAATATCGTAGCGTTTTCTTCACATGATACACAGTAATTAGAAGTCTGATCTTGTTTGTTGGCCCTGGAGTAACGCAGAACAGTGGGAAACGCTGTTTAAAACAAGACTTCGACCACACCCTTCGAAGCACTCGGTTGCGTGGCGTAGCTTAAGTCTCGCAGCTGAAAAGCACCTTGATAGGCCACGTAACGACGTGTATCAGACCAATAGCACCGGCATAGAGGCCGTTCTCTTATTCTCTCTACCCCTCTTTGTGTTCCCCTGTCGGCCGCAGTCACTTCAGTTCTTCTACAGTAACAAGATGAGTGGCAGATCGACCAACACCTATAGACGTCTTGTGTTATTTTTTTTTGGAAAACTTACATACGTGAACTTACATGTTTTCGACATATGTATGTCTCACTGAAATATAGAGCTCATTATGAAAATCTTTGAAAAAAGTTTTCGATGAAACGACAGGAATTTAGAATTTGCTACAATGTATTTTCAGCTGGAGTACGCGCTTTCATTGAAAGTGACTACGTAAGTTTGAAGAAAGCAAATCCACAATTCCCGATCCTTATTCGAGAGTGCTCTGGAATCGTCCCGCGAGTGTTTGCCAGGTATTCCCTTGTCCACTCTGTTTTCTGAACATTCTTGACATTGATTCACTTTGCACGTAAATAGAATCGTGTTTAAAACGAAATCTCCACGTAGAACCTTTGAAGGTTGATAATTTACCGAGTCTTTTAGTTTCTGAAACTTCATGAGACTCACGATTCTCCCATGGGTCTTATCGCTAGACAGGGGTCTCGCGGTGTTAACAGTTTGTGTAGGTTGTTCAATTACAATCTGCCAAGTCCTCGAATTTTAAGGATCGTTACCGGCTCTACTCCTATGCCATTTGAGCCTCTTTTTCGTACTTTGTACGTT